ACTCTGTATATTCAGGTGTTAAATTATTATATGTTGTAAAGATCCTCTCTATCGCCCCACATGGGTGGTAGGGAGGGGGTAGGGAGGGGGGGTAGGGAGAGGGGGGTAGTGGAGGGGTAGAGGGGAGGGAGGTGGGGGTAGGGAGGGGGGAGGGAGGGGGGAGGAGGGGAGGAGGGGGGAGGGAGGGGGAGTGGAGGGGTAGTGGAGGGGTAGGGGAGGGGGGTAGTGGAGGGGGTGTGAGGAGGGAGGGGTAGTGGAGGGGGTGGTGGAGGGGTAGTGGAGGGGGGGGTGGTGGAGGGGGTAGTGAGGGGTAGGGAGAGTGGGAGGGGTAGGGGGTAGGGAGGGGTAGGGAGGGGGTAGGGAGGGGGTAGTGGAGGGGGGTAGGGAGGGGGTAGGGGAGGGGGTAGGGGAGGGGGTAGGGAGGGGGTAGGGAGGTAGGGAGGGGAAGGTAGGGGAGGGGGGGTAGGGAGGGGGGTAGTGGGGGTAGGGAGGGGTAGGAGGGGGGGGAGAGGGGTAGGGAGGGGGTAGGGGAGGGGGGTAGGAGGGGGGTAGTGGAGGGGTAGTAGTGGGAGGGGTGGTGGGAGGGGGGGTAGGGAGGTAGGGAGGGGGTAGTAGTGGAGGGGGGGGTAGGGAGGGGGGGTAGTAGGAGGGGTAGTGGAGGGGTAGGAGGGGGGGTAGGGAGGGGGGGGTAGAGGGGGTAGGAGGGGGGGTAGTGGAGGGGGCAGAAGCTCAGGGAGATATTCTCTACATCTCCCAACAGGTAGAAGATGAAATGAGATAAAAAAAATACATTTACAATATTTTGACTCTATTTTCAGAATTAAGTCAGAATCCCCAAACTTATAGAAACATTATCATTAATATACACAGGAAATATAATAACTTAAAGGTGAATATAAAGAGAAAAGCTTTTAAAAACTATATAAACGCCTCTAATAACCATTTAATCTGGCACTATATACATGGAAATGATTGTTTCTCTATATAATCAGATATACACCTCAAACAATAACATAACTTGGTCATGTAAATACAGTAATGAAATCAACCAGGTACACATCATGACCTAAAAAACAGGTGTATAAGTTAAAATGGGGTAAGGTTAGATAAGACAACAGGAAGCTGCCTCTCTCTCTCTGCGACAATAACATACAGTCTTATTTGCCTCCCTAAAACTTTCAGCCCCCACAACATTAGCATCGGAATGTGTTATTCTCCAAAGCTCAGAGTAAGACCCCCCTACCCCTGTTTGATAGCCCCCCTCTCCTGTCCCTGGATGTGCTCCCTCTCAACACATAACAACTTTTCCTCCAACATTTTCTCTCTTTTACCTCCAACATCACACACACACACACACACTTGTTGTACCGTAGGGCCCTCACACGCTGCTGCTCCCCTCCGCATTTCTAAGTTTTTTTTATCTCTTGTGTTTTTAGACGTCGTTGTATGCAGGAAAATAAATTGAGTTTTGGGAGGTGGAAAATTGTTACATCCTGGCTGGTGTGTTGTTGCTGTTTTTTGCATATCGTTCTTCGTTTTGTTTTATTAATTTGTTAAAAGTAAAGAGGAGGGAGGAGGAGAGATCGTACGGCCCTCCCCTTCTCCAGTGTTTTATTACATTATTAATAACGTTGGGAGTTTCTTTAGCGGAAATATATGAAAAACAAAAAAATAATGATGATCTCTATAGCCTATGCAATATAGAGATGAGACTATGACAGAGCGGCGTCACGAGAGCACCTCAAAAGGCAATTTTTCAAACCGGCAACTAAATCTGCCGCGACAATTTCACCATCACACAAACGTAAACTCTCGGTGACCCTATTACTGTGACCCTATTACTGTGACCCTATTACTGTGACCCTATTACTGTGGCGACTATTACTGTGACCCTATTACTGTGGCCCTATTACTGTGGCGACTATTACTGGACCCTATTACTGTGACCCTATTACTGTGGCGACTATTACTGTGACCCTATTACTGTGGCAACTATTACTGTGGCGACTATTATTGGCGACTATTACTGTGGCGACTATTACTGTGGCGGCTATTACTGGGCGGCTATATTGTGACCCTATTACTGTGACCCCATTGTGAGACTATTACTATGGCACTATTACTGTGGCGACCATTACTGTGACCCTATTACTGTGACCCACTGTGACCCTATTACTGTGGCGACTATTATGTGACCCTATTACTGTGGCAACTATTACTGTGGCGACTATTAGGCGATTTTTACTGTGGGACTATTACTGTGGCGACTATTACTGTGGCGGCTATTACTGTGACCCTATTATGTGACCCTATTACTGTGGAGACTATTACTATGGCGACTATTACTGTGGGGACCATTACTGTATGACTATTACTGTGACCCTATTACTGTGACCCTATTACTGTGGCGACTATTACTATGGCGACTATTACTGTAGCGACTATTACTATGGCGACTATTACTGTGGCGACTATTACTATGGCGACTATTACTGTGGCGACTATTACTATGGCGACTATTACTGTGGCGACTATAGCTGTTTTGTGGGGCTGTATAAAATGTAGGTCCCTTTATAAATCCTGATGTCTCGCCACTTCCCAAAAGATTCAGCAATAACCTCACTACTGCTCGGTCATTATGTACAAAGATACAAATATATCTCAGTCAACATCCAATGATCTGGTTCCGGCGGTCACTATCTACCAACAATATACTGCTGAACATATTACTGATGCTGAGGACTATGCTGCTGAGTATAAGCCGTGCTGAGGGAGGTGACAATTAAAACAGAACTATTACCACAAACTGTATTTAACACATCTTGGTCCGTGTCTTCGGAACTGGTAAGAGGTGTTTGTTGACAATGAACCTACGTTAAGAGACACACACAATATACTGTAGGTTGAATGGCCTCGTGAAGTTGCATATTCATTGTGCCTTATCGCGCCCAAAGCCACTAGTAGATACATTTTCTCACAATAAACTAAGAAATAAGTAGATTCTGTCATGGCTACTCCTTATAGAAAACTGATTCGTTGATGTAATATACAGTTTATACGAGTTATATTTAAGTGAGTATTAATGAATGTTTTCACTTATAATTGTCATAGAATTTGTTTATGCTTAGACCCATTTTGACATAGTTTATGGTAGGAATTCTAAACCATTATTTTTTGTCATTTACCACCACCCATGAATAAAAATAATCAGGGTATAAGCGTAAGAAACTATTATCAAAGGAAATAACCTGTACAAATGCTGGAACTGACAGGTACACTGAGTATATTAACCACAACTGTATACTGTACTTGTGACCAATATCCAGCAGAGTAGTCAGGATATTTTGGTAGTGAGGTAAAAGTCCAAAACTGCCCAGTACAAGAGTGAGACAAATATACTATTCATCAATCATCTCTTTCACTTTACCATAGCAATTTATAAACAATACAAAGAATCACTGAAGTAAAAGCAGGTGTGTGTGTGTGTGTGTGTGTGTGTGTGTGTGTGTGTGACCACCATTACACATCTTCCCTACACTACTCCGTCATCATAATGTAATTTACCCCCCAGCGTGAGGTAACCATAATGCAGCCTCGATACTCATGTAAGATGCAAATGAACTATTTTAGTCTGGGAGGGACGAGGAGGCAGATCCAAGCTCTCCCCCCCTTAAAGTGGTTTACGTGTCCATAAAACGAGTTATTATATCCGTTTATATTTCGTAAAAGGACTAATAACACCCGTAAAGTGGATTCCCTAAATTAGCTTACAATATCCGCAAAATAGTGTATCCACAAAAAGAGTTATCACGACCGTAAATTTGTTTCTATTCCGTAAAATGGGAGGTTGTGATATACGTTAGGGGTATTTTTATATCACTGAGAGTGGGTTCTGTAGCCTGGCGACCTGTTAGTGGCAGTGTGGGGAGTAACACATTGTAAATTAAGTTACATTTTCGTGAACAAAAGGAGGTAGTGTTTTTTTTTCCTTGTATTTATAAAAAGAAAGTTTTATATTTACTTAGTTATATGTTTATATCTTGTGCAACTCTTATATCCACAAAGTATTTTACGGATCACATGAAGATTAGCCCACCCAGTTTACGTTAGTTAATAATTAAACACCCTAACGCTAATCCAAACTAACCTAACTTAACCTATCCTACATAACTAATTATATATCTATTTATCTATCTTTTATTCCGATTGTCTCTCTCCCTCTCGTTCCATTGTGAGTGACGCAGTACTAAGCACTTCCCCCTTCACTATGACCCCACACACCTAATAAACAACATTAAGTAGTGACATTTCTACCTCATCTCCTAATCAAGTTCCTACTCTCTGTCTCTCTCTCTCTCTATCTATATATCTCTATGTTTCTCTTATCTATCTATCTCTTTCTATCCATCTATATATCTTTCTCTTCTCTACTACTACTATTACTACGGTTCCGAAACTTCCGACTGACCGCATCACCCCTTCCATTTCTCCCGCCACCTCCCACACTCTCCAGGGGACTTCCACCAACCTATTGTTATGGTAACTACGGCTCATCCCCGCCACTATACCACGGCCCAGCTGCTTCTTATTTCTTTTGCCTTACTGCTCATTCTTTTCTCTGTTCCTGGACACCACCGTAATGCTATACACGTGGCCTAGCCTAGTTACGTCTTGGGTGTTCAGCAAGTATGGAGAGGTATTTTGTTCCTTGGGTGAGAGGAGAGATCTGGTCTCTCCAGGTTGGTGAGAGGTGAAAAGGGAAAGGGAAAAGAGGTGGGGAGAGGGGATAAACAAGGGAAATAAGGGCAGACATTAGGCTATATACTAAAGTGAATATTAAGTTTTCTGAATTAAAAAATACATCAACCAGACGACCAAACAACCCAAAGAACTACAAATTATTCTGGTCCACCTTTAATGCTCTCAGTTCCAACTTCAGTATCCATTAATCCATTCCTCCTCTCAACTCACGTGACGGCTCAGTGATCTCATATCCCTAGATGGCCAATGGACGCTCCCAAATATTTACCTCCAACGCTGTTCTGTAAGAGGCGCCTGAAATTTTAGCCCTCAAATAGCATATCTGTTGTACATACTATTGTCTCGTAGCTATGAAGATGAATGCTTATAAGAACTAGCTCATGAACACCTGCCCATGAAGACACCTGTCCCGGATAAAGTGATGACCCACACAGGTGTTGAATACATCCAACTGATGACCCCAGCTCAGACTTGAGTCACTTCCAACACTGGATTGTTAGACTGTACTTAACACGCTCTAAATGGCCCCCAAATCAGGAAACTGAGAGCAAAGTGCCATGCCCTCTAGATGCGGTAATACTCTTTAAAGAGAATCACAGTCCCCTCCCCAGCAGCGGTAGCCGTGAAGAAGCAAAACCCACGCCAGCCTGGACGGGAGGTGAGCGAGAGTCCATGACGCAGGGTAGTAGAGACTACCTCAAAAGCTTCACTTATATTCAGGAAGGGAGGCACCATGTTGGCGCCCAGTGGGTGAATTCAGACGGCGTGTTGCATATACACATTATATATTGCTCGTCTGTGAGCTTAACTCACCTACGTCAACAAGATCATTAGGAACGAAATCATTTTACCACCAATTACAAACTTTAAAATTACCTTACGTTAAGAAGCGAATCAAACTATCTCTATGGGTAAGTAATCACGTCCTTGTCAAGTCTGTAACGCTTGTGCTCAGAGAGAGAGAACCAGAGACTTACTATTATGTAGAGTGTAAGTCGAGGTAAGAATGTTGGTACCTCAGTCTACTCCTGTGGGTCTAAGACTTGACTCTTCTCCTGATACTGTCTCGATCCACCTCCCCTCCACCACTTAAATCTACATTCTTAGTCAATGGAGTTCGAAACGGCATCTCTCTCTCCCCATCCTCTCCTCTCACCCCATCACCCTTCACCCCACATCCATCATCCTCACATCTCTCACCCCCCTCACTCCTCACTACCCACTTATCCACTCCCCTCACCTCTGCAGCTCGCCGTCGACATAATCATTTCCTGCAACACAAAAGTTGAAACACCTCGGAGGCAAAACCTTACCGGAAACACTACAAGATTTTACGAGGAGTAACAAAGAATTTTACCAGGAGTGGCACTCAAGTTAAACAAGTGCCACTCAGGTGTACCTAGAATGCAATTAATTTTACCTAGAGTGCCACTAAGCTTTACCTAGTGTCATAAAACTTTAGTGTCACAAAGCTTGAACAGGATTGCCAACAGAAACTCTCACCAACAGAAGTGCCAACAGAAACTCTCACCAACAGGAGTGCCAACAGAAACTCTCACCAACAGAAGTGCCAACAGAAACTCTCACCAACAAGTGCCAACAGAAACTCTCACCAACAGGAGTGCCAACAAGCTCTCACCAACAGAAGTGCCAACAGAAACTCTCACCAACAGGAGTGCCAACAGAAACTCTCACCAACAGAAGTGTCAACAGAAACTCTCACCAACAGGGTGTAACAGAAACTCTCACCAACAGGAGTGCCAACAGAAACTCTCACCAACAAGGTGTAACAGAAACTCTCACCAACAAGTGCCAACAGAAACTCTCTCACAAGTGCCAACAGAAACTCTCACCAACAAGTGCCAGCAAACTCTCACCAACAGGAGTGCCAACAGAAACTCTCACCAACAGGAGTGCCAACAGAAACTCTCACCAACAGGAGTGCCAACAGAAACTCTCACCAACAGAAGTGTCAACAGAAGCTCTCACCAACAGAAGTGCCAACAGAAACTCTCACCAACAGGAGTGCCAACAGAAACTCTCACCAACAGAAGTGTCAACAGAAACTCTCACCAACAGGAGTGCCAACAGAAACTCTCACCAACAGAAGTGTCAACAGAAGCTCTCACCAACAGAAGTGCCAACAGAAACTCTCACCAACAGGAGTGCCAACAGAAACTCTCACCAACAGGAGTGCCCAGCAGGAAACTCTCTCACCAACAGGAAGTGCTTAGCAAAACTCTCACCAACAGAGGTGTCAGCAAACTCTACCAACAGAATTAACCAGCAAACTCTCACCAACAAGTGTAGCAAAACTCTCTCACCAACAGAATTGTAGCAACTCTCACCAACAGAATGCCAGAAACTCTCACCAACAGAAGTGCCAGCAAGCTCTCACCAACAGAATTGCCAGCAAACTCTCTTCCAACAGGAGTGCCAGCAAAGCTCTCTCACCAACAGGGAGTGCCAACAAGCTCTCACCAACAAGTCTTGGCAAACTCACCAACAGATTGTGCAGCTTAGAAGCTCTCACCAACAGGAGTGTAACCAGAAACTCTCACCAGCAAGGAGTGCCAGCAGAAACTCTCACCAACAGGAGTGCCAACAGAAACCCTCACCAACAGGAGTGTGAAACTCTCACCAACAGGAGTGCCAGCAAGCTCTCACCAACAGGGGAGGTGCCAACAAGGCTCTCACCAACAGGAGTGCCAACAAGCTCTCACCAGCAAGTGCCAACAGAAGCTCTCACCAACAGAAGTGCCAACAAGCTCTCACCAACAGGAGTGTCAGCAAGAAACTCTCACCAACAGGAGTGCCAACAGAAACTCTCACCAACAGAAGTGTCAACAGAAGCTCTCACCAACAGAAGTGCCAACAGAAACTCTCACCAACAGGAGTGCCAACAGAAACTCTCACCAACAATGGAGTTCCAGTGTTGGGTTGAGGCTGTTGACCTTTTTTACCGAGAACCCGATAAACGTTGGAGAGGAAAGAGAAGAGAGGGATAA